TATTATAGCTAGTGTGCAGTCGAAGTTATCGTTTTTTCTTCGCTTTTCTCCTATTTCACTGGGTTGTCTTAGCTTTCGGTCGCCAGCCACCAACCCCTTTTTCATAATTTATTCAAAACGAATTTGTTTCACGCTCATTTTAGCGCAATCAAATGCAAATTTATGCACGTTTCCAATACTTTGGCAAACAGCGGCAGCGGGAGCAGCAACAAAATGAACACCAACCTCAGTAAAGTGGCAACAAAGCGGTGCATCAGCGCTGTGGTGAGCAGTGCTGCTCAGTTGGCCGTCAAAGTTTGCCACCTTGCACAGTCGATTGCCATTGTTCTTCTCGCAGCGTTTGGCTTTAACTGACTCGTGTGTTTGTCGCCCTTGTGTATTTTGGCAGGACAACCATATTCAAATTAGCTGCTTGGGGTGATTTTTATACAAACCAAAACTCACCGAAAATATGACGCGTGAGTAGGGAAATTGCTTGTCACAATGATGATACATTCATGTCCCCCACTACTTCTCATAAACCCCCTCCCTCGCTCTCTGCGACCACTAAGCAGCAGTGTCAGTGTAGCTCGTTTGCCGGGGCGTATGCGTGACATTTGTATTGTAGTGACACGGTCATAAAACATTGTACGCCACCGGCAAGTTCTTGTTTACCATTTGTCATGCTCAGAGCGCAGCGGATACCCTGTCCATCGTACATAAGTTAATAATTGCTAAGGTGAATATGGCTGGCAATTATAAGCACACAAATGAGGGCGGCCGCAAGGCTAATACGGGTGCAGAGTTGTTGGCTTTTTGTGGAAGGGTTGTGGACGGGAAGGGTATAAATTATGTTGTTTTATGAATGCGCAGACCTTGGTATACAGTAGGCGGCAGTGAGAGAGGAAGTAGAAGAGTGAAATGAGAATATTTTCAAGTGGCAAATGTATGCTAATAAAGGGACAATCTGTTTGGCTTCCGTTGGTTGCTGAGTGTTAGGGCGCTTGCTATCTGGCCATCTTTAATTTGGTTACATTATTTCACTTATCTAGATATCTATTATTAAATGAAGTATATTATTGTGTGTTTTTTTCACACGAGTAACATATTTATTACTTAGCGTGCACTTTTGGAATTATTTGCATATTTATAACATAAAAGTGTTAGTGTTGACGGTGGGGTTTGACCCAGCAGCAAAAATGTACGATATGTATATATATATATACCATTTGCTCGTATAGCACATATATAATATAAAACAAAAAAAAGAGCGATGCAGCCGAATAATACCCTTAACAGGTGCATTCCTTATATCATAGAAGGGTATAAAAATATCTTTATCTTAGTTTTGATTGTTCTGTTTGTATAAAAATATTCGGGAGAAAAATAATGTGTGCAAAACTTTAGATCGGTATGTCCAAAATTGAGGGACTACTTCGTGTATTTACAGACAGATAGACGGACATGGCTAAATCGACTCAATTCGTCACGCTGCTCATTTATATATTATATATATATAATATTATATATATACCTTATAGGGTCTTCGACATTTTCTTGATTATGTTACAAACTTCGTAAATTTAATTTATTCAAGAAGTTCTGAGGAAACTGCTGTAGATTCCTTGCTATTATGGCACTACTATAGTGCTTTGCCTCTAACGTAGTGAGAACTTTATCCAGTTTAGAAACTTTACTGCTATTAATGGTACTTTTTGTATTTCGGTCTTATTGCTAAGGGATGATCAGATTTCAGCGAATTAGTTCGCTAAGAGAATTATGAAGGGGGAGAATATTCCAATACTTGGTAGATCAAATATTATATACAATATATGAAATTTACAGTTTATAAAATTCGCTACGTACAAATTCTCCAGTTGGTTAGTGATGTTTGTTGATGACTGAGGACAAATAAAGCTATTTAGTTGATTGCATTGGGATAGGTAAAGAACAGTTAAAAAAAATGTCGAAAAACATTTTAACCTGTTTCGTCTGAACACATATTGGTTGAAGTTAAGGATAAAGAATTTATCAACTCCAGATTCCTTTTAAAATATGAGAACTTTTTATAAGAAGTATCTCTGGCAAAGGTCCCAGAGATTATTGACCAGATTAGACTCCTTTTAAATTTTCTCGATTAGCGAAGCTGAAAATAAGAGAACAAAGAGATAAAAAAAAAATTATAAATAGCTTGGCCCATGTTGTTGGTTAAAGAAACCCTAATTTTTTAATGGAATGTTTAAATGAACTCAAAGGGAACATATTTTCAAGGCAATAAATGAAAATCTTCTATTGAAAAACGTAAATGAATTTCTGTATGGTTGAAATACATGGTTGTTATAAGTCTGACTGTAAGTCAGTAGTTGTACTAGACAGTTCACATCAGATTTGTTTCAGAATTTATTTCTGCTTCTAAATTTTAGTTTTTTTTTATATTTCGAATGTGCATATATTTTTTAAATTTCGCCAAAAAGTCGAAGTGGATCTGGCAAATAGTTTCGGAGAAACCGACTCTCGAACTTTAAAGCGGACGCTATTTTTAGAGTCGATGAGGAAAAGTTTTTCGAAACGACTTGAAATTTTAACACGATTTTCTTAGATTTACCTATTTGTCTGGTAATGATCGAAGGAATAAGATTTTTGACAGTATTTAGAATCTCTAATTAAATCTAAATTTTGACTAGTTCATCTATAACTATAAAATTGTCTATTGAATCTTTCCTTCCTCCCACCCTTCTTGGATTTCAAACCATTTTAAGCAGAAAAATCCTTCTCACCTCTAGACATATTTTTTCGGTGGTCCTCCAGGAGATCGGAGAATAAGGGAATCTAAAATTTTTCACCATAATCTGCCAATAATTAAAGTTTATTGAATTCTGTAAATGTACAAATGTAAAAAAAAACCAAAAAAAATTTAAGCACGTTCCTCTGACTTGCAAGTGGATATAACCACTTCGGCAGTTCTCAATTTCGAGAAGAAAAGCTGTATCAGCAATAATGACACTGAAAGTCTACTAGTAATATTAGCAACGACAATAAATATTTATCTTTCGCTAAGTTGTAACTGTGGGTGTGTTTAAACTAAGGTCAATAGGAGATTTTAGATTAAGAGTTCATCGAAAAACTCTCTTATTGCTTCTGCAATATCTTTAATCGAGTATATCCTCCTTCTTAAATGTCAAAATTAAGTACGTAATCGGATTATCGCTGAGCTGCAACAAATAATCGTCAACCGAAACTCCATCCTACAGTATTGAGTATTCTCAATTCAACACTAAAACCTTAAATAAATTCTTTAAAAAAAAAATTCCAGTAAATTGAAAAGTTTTCTTTAAACATGTCGCTAAAAATACACCACTAATACTCCCAATTACGTTCATTACATATACGCTTCAACAACTCAATTAATAACGACCAGTGGCATATCAGTAGTTGGTCATTTCCGTTTTGTCCATGTTTTCGCTTGTTACATTATACAAGTTTTATCTTGCATATGTATGGATTTCCAATTTTCTCGCTTTATTGCAGCTATTCGCTAATGATAGCCAACTAACCAGCTGTTTAACAGTTCTTCGTTGTCGTTTACTCAATTTTATTGTGTTATTGTTTTTTGCTTTTTTTTTGATTGCTTTTTGGCTTCAACTGAAAATCAGGTTTCTGTGTTTATTTTTAAACATGTACTTAGAGCCGGTTTAGCTGCGTCTTAAGCGCAAGCCGCAGTGGCAAAGTAAAGAAGAAGAAGTGGTAGAAGCAGAGGTAGGTGAAAAATGGTAAAAAAAAATAACAATATTGACAGCAATGAGAAGACAACTTGCACAGACAAGTTGTTGACTGTCGTTGAAGGCGAAGCAGTTCAAATGTTTTTATATTTTGTGTGTATATGTATATAGGTATATATATGAATATATGTATGTGTGCGTAATTGTTCGCACTTACATGGAGCTAGCTTGTTTTGATAGCGGTAATTGCAAGTTGTGGGTGCTACTTGTTCAGCGACTGTTTGGTGGCCGCGCTTATAAGCGGCTTAAAAGAGTATGACCCAAAGAGGCTTTACAACAACTTATTTTGGTCAGTGCGTATGTGTGTGCATTAGGCGTTTATAAAAGAGTTAATATTTAAAGCTGTGTGTGATTATTTGTTTGCATTGTACTTAAAGTTGCGCTGAAGAGTGAGTGAGCTTAAGAGAGAGAGAGCTTAAAAATGCTATGTTGCTTGATTTTGTTAAAGGACGCTACCGCGCTGGATTTGGATCACCAAAGTCCATAGAACACTGTAAACAAATATAAAATTAAGACTTAAAGTGTTCTAATAAGCAAATAGAAAGATCACAACCTTCTTTGGACTTTAGTAGGGAGCAAGTTGGCCTTTGTACCCCTTTAGCTTTGAAATTGCGAGGGAGTCAGGTGAATCGGCCGTTCTTAAAAGTAATGTAAGCATAAAAATGTTCATGAACATATTTGCTCATATTACCCGCTTCTTGTTTATGTGAGACCAAAGCTTAAACACTTGGGAACTCACATTTTCAGATATCCCACTGGGCTGGTGAGAATTGAAACTAAACGCCTAAGCATATTTGTAGTGGCCTCAAGGCGCTTTGTTGACTTATGATATCGGATACAGGAGTTCTATTTCATGGCTTCACAATGGTCAGCTGACAGTTGGAATTCTCTAGTTTCGGAAAACTATTTGTCCTTATATGCTCTTTAGAGGTACCAAGAACTGCTTCTGGCTCTTTGCTGCATTCCTCGGTTTATAAATTGCTCAAAAATCCCGACTAAAGCTTTGCCAATACGATGTTTTATAAATGTCTTGATACGGCGCCACCTATCGCAAAACGATTTTTACTCAGTTAAGCACAAGTGGCCGGTTTATGTGAGTATTTGAAATCTCTCTATAAAAAACAGCTAATCTTGTATTTCAACAGCATAAATATTCTCTTAACTCGCTCTTCATATTTCATGTTCCCTTTTTTCTTCAATTTCAATTTACTCATTTAAATTCATTGTTCGTTTTCATTTCAGGTTTGACAACTCAATTGCCCTGCTAAATTGAACCACCTTTGCGCATGCGCAGTGCGGCTATTATTACACTTCGCCAACTATTGTTTTGTACAATACAAGTAAAAAAAGTAACAACAGCAAAAAATTGACGTAAGTTACAAATACGCTACTGCTGTGGAAATGGCTATGTTAAATTTTTAAATTATTCAAAAGTGTATATTTGTATTACTAGGGTGGGTCTACTGGACAAAGCAAACATTCCAAATATTCGAGATCTAGGTGATCGAGGAGAGCTTAGACTGGCATTTTTTTTTTAAAGCTAGTTGGTAGTATAGCAAAAATTTAATTGCTGAAAATTTCAAATATAGCTTGAGCAAGTCTCATCTAACCTGTATGATACATGCTTCCTAACAGTACCCTAGATTTGTTATATTATCCGATTTAACTAGTCTTAAATTATTTATTCCTAAGTTTTTTTAGACGAAAAAGGTTTATTATATGCATAACAGGTATTATCTTCGATAACACACATTTTCGATTCGTCACTTTGCAGTCAAAGTCAATTTATTATTTTTATACCATTTTATATCAGCTCAAGTTTTCTCTGTATTTATTAGTACCAGTTCATACTTTTTTACCAGTTAATTTTTCGATTCTTTATTCTTATTCAAATTTTGGTATAAAAACTGGTCTAAAAATAAACACTTGAAAAAGTAAATTGAACAAGCAACTGGTAAAACGGTATAATTCTACGAAAATGAATTGTAGTTTATTCGTTAATACCAGTTAAGTAACTGATTTAACTAGTTATATAATAAAGGGATCTGAAAATAAACACTGAAAAAAGTAAATCGAACAAGCAATTGGTATACAAAGGAAAATCTTATAAAAGTGGCGATTGGAAGGCAACTAGTGTAGGGTATCACTTAATTTTTATGACGTTACGCGTCAAATAAATTAGCAAATAAACCGCTTGTATTTATTAACTACAGAAAACTTGGATTTCTTGAAATTTTAGTTGTACCGTTCATCTGCTTAAATTCTTTTTATTTACTCGTATATGTATTTATGCACGTATATACTTAACTTTTAAACATAAAAATATTTTGTGAGTATATGTGTGTGTGTATGCATGCCTATACACATACGTCAAAGCGCTGCCAAACAACTGAGGTGACCGCTGAAAACATGTATTTAATGTGGTGAGAAGTTGGTGGCGGCTCCTAGTCGTGGCTGGTCTGCGATCGTTGAGTGTGGGTTAGGGCTTAAAAGAAGTGTACATACAAGTCAAGAAAGAAATAAACAGAAACGTATAACAGGTATGGCAAAAAAGCCACGTCGAAGAATGTAAAAAATGTCTATAAATCGAAATTAGTTCGAAAATAAATAAATGCAGTTAAAATAATATTAATGAAATCGCAATAGTAAACATTTGACGCATGCGAATGCAGTGTTGAAAATAAGTTATACCTAAAGAATTCTTCAACAAACTGTGCTGTGCTAAATGAAATGTGCAAAAAGTTTTGCCACGAATGCAAAAATTAATAATTTCTGTGAACTTTTTTTTTAATGCAAAACAATGTTTATTTAAACGTGCGGCAGTGCTATGCTATTTCATAATAAGCGGAGTGTTAATTAAAACTAATTTGTGTTGCAATCAAAATGTTGTGCATGAAAATATTTTTATTTTTAAGTTTAATGGAAATAAAATATTTTTTTTTTGTTAAAATATATGCTATTTTTTATAAAATAATTTTTCTTATCAGTAATTGAATTACTTTCATATAAATAAAAACATTTTATATTTGAGAAATATTTTAAATATTAAAGCAAGAAAAAAAGTTAATATGTTTAAAAAAAAATCAATTGGAACAATCAATTTTTTTAAATAGAAACTTTTTATATTGAAGAATATTTAGTTTTTTTTAAAATAATTTCACATACTTAAGAATAACAACTATACATTCGTTTTATAAATATTCATTTGTTTTTCTTCGGCTAAAATTTACTTTTCAATAAAACTTTTTTAACAAATTTTATTTAAAATAAATTTTTTTTTAATATTAAAAACTGGCAGCTGATGAAATAGGAGGTCTCAAAGAATTGGCACATGAGCTAAGTATTTAAACCCTGCTAGTCATCTGAAATGAAAAATAATAAAGATTATCAATCTGCAATGATGTCGCAATTGTATGAACAAGCGATAAGTAAAAATTTTTGTTTGACAAAATGGCGACCGTTTGAAAAAAAAACAACGAGCTTTTACCATTTTTTTTATTTTTTCGTATTTTTTAAAAATGATAATAATTGAAATTTGGCTAGTTCATACTCGAGGTCTATAAAGAAGATTATCTGAATATTTCAAGTAAATCGGTCCAGTAGAATTCGAGAATCGTGGGTATCGTATTGACAAAGTATGGTTTGAGAAAAACGCATTTGAAGTTTCGCGTAAAGTCTTTTGTTTAATTAGACCCAGCCGAACCAGTTTGGCGGCCGGGTCGGTAAAATGTCTATATCTCCGAAAATAATTTAAATTTTCAAAAATCTTCTCGCATACATATTTAAATAGTTAAACTTTAAAAACATGAAAAAAAAGATTTTTTTGAAATTCTACACCAGAAAATACTTTAAATATTAGTGCCAAAAAAAAAAACGAATTAATATGTTTAAAAAAATTATAATAGTTTCAGTGGTATTTTTTTTTGAATTTTAGAGAATTATTTTTAATTAAATAAAAAATTTTATATTGAAATACCCTTTATTTTTATTTGGAATTACTAATTTTACATACTTAGTAGCATATATAAGTTTTGTTTTATACATACACATCTTTGTTGCTTTCGTTAAATTTTATGCTATTTTCAGTAAAATTTAGCAAAAAAAAATATTTTTTGTAAAATTTTTTATTGCTTGTTTATTTTAAAAAAAATTTAACTTGGCTAATTAATTAGAAAATGTTTAGAAATAGCATATAAACATTTTACGAAAAAAAAATAATAAATAAAAATATCTGTGCATTTCACAGTAAATACCGCGGATTATTAAACTTTTTAACCATTTTATTTATTTGATTGTGCCATTCATTTTGATTTCATTTTACGACCCCTCGCTCAGCTCAATAAAAATACACATACATATAAATCGTTACAGTGTTGCTGCATAAAATAAAATGGCATTTTTGAAAATTTGCATATTCGCCATTGTTGTTGGTAAGTACATGCACATCTGCAGATGCAATTTTCAGTGAATTTATACACACATTTCGCTAAAACACATACAAATCAGCGGCTTTAATTTGCAATTTGAATAATTTAACATTGACAATTAACTAAATATCTGTATACATACATATACATATCTAGCAATATATATATATATATATATATTATATAAATATGTATATAAAAAGTCATGCATCTGCATGTAATTGCATAAATAATTGGAGTTAATGAGTGAGTGATTGTTTAAATGTGTAATGAGTAGTTTTAATTTAATGAGTGTGAAAATGTGACAGCTCAAATGACTATGCAATAGCTATATGTGAGTGTATGAGGGACAGCATGGCCGAAGAGTTTGTGAATGATAAAGGATGAAGTAGAACCTTTACTCACAACAAATTACAACTGATAGGAAGAATGCGTGATAGCAACTCGTGTATTGAAAGAGTCAACGAAAACAGTGTATCGTGTTGTAGGTACTCATAAATGTCAAGTAGAATCCTTCAAGTGCTTTTCGAAACTTTTCGAATATTCAATTCTGACTTCCTTAAGAAAGTAATAAGTAAACATATAAATCGGTATTATATTAGGTAAAGTAAAAAGTTCGTTCGCTTTTCTATAAATTTTTCAAAAGATGATTACTTTGTGTACATTTGTCCGATTTAAGTCAAATATGCGCCGTTTTGTTCGTAAACTTGTTGCCAACGAGATGGCAATTTCATTATACCCCTCTCGTAGAAGACTGCGTCCCTATTACCAAAAAACTCGGAGAGCCAATTTTCACAGGCCTCTCTTGAGGCCAACTTCTCACCATTAAGTGCGTTCGCCATGGACAGGAAAAGATGGTAATCACTTGGTGCTAGGTCCGGACTATAAGGTGGGTGCATTAGAACCTCCCATCCTAGCTCCAGGAGCTTCTGGCGAGTCACCAAAGACGTGTGTGGTCGGGCGTTGTCCTGATGGAACACAATTCGGCCTCTGTTGATCAAAGATGGCCTCTTCTGGATGAGTGCTGCCTTCAAGCGGTCCAGTTTTTGGCAGTAGAGAGCCGAATTGAGCGTTTGGCCATAGGGAAGCAGCTCGCAGTAGATGATTCCTTGCCCATCCCACCAAACATACAGCAAAAGCTTCCTGGCCGTCAATCAGGTCTTGGCCACCATTTGGGCCGCTTTCCCGAGCTTTGACCACGACCGTTTGCGCTCGATGTTATCATAAGTGACCCATTTTTCATCACCAGTCACAATCCGCTTGTGGTATTATAACAGTTTTAAAGTTTTGACAAATGGTGGCATCCCAAAAAAAAAGGAATTTTTTTTTTGCGAAAGAAATCCTATTCTATATCTAATAAGGTCGTGTGAAAAATCAAGTCGATCGGCCCAACTTCAAATTTTCTCAGAATATTCTCAAATATATTCATATTTGATATATGTGCAAAAGATAAGTCAGAAGTGGATATAATCCCTTAATGTAAATGCCTAGACCATCTCTCTCTACCTTATTTTCATTTATGCTCTCAATTGGAGCAAATATTTGAAGTGTTAAGTACCCAAATGTGGTGATTTAGTTAACTTAGCCATTACTTACTTGTATATTTAGTTTTCATTTTTATGATTTTCACTCAACTAACTTTTCGCAAATATATAGTAGTCTTTTGGAATAAATATGGTGACGTTATAGCGTGCCCAAAACATTAACTGACAATAGAAAGTAGTCGATATTTTTGATATTTTAAGAAATTTTGATTAAAAAGTCGAATTTTGGGTGAATATTCTCTTAGTTATTAAGTTAACGTTGTCTTCGGTGGATGACCGACTCACACCATAGCCAGTTACTATGACCTTCACTGAGTGCTGTATACCATTAAGTTATTAGACTATCGATAAGTATACTCGCTAAACCAGTTTTCTAACATTGTCATTTCTGTAGCCTTGAAAACACAAAATTGAAAATAATTTTATTTTTATTCCTAGTAAAAATCATTAGCGTTATAAATAAAATATAGAAATATAGAGTAATTATTATAGTTCTAACTAACCTATTCTAACCTACAAACATTTTTTTAATGCGTTCAGATTTAGAATTTAGTTTAGAAATGAGATATATTGTATTAGTTAGTTAGTAGTTTTGAAGATCGTCTTGTCTGTGTTATATTACAAAACCACGTGGTCACATGGTAAAATATGGTCGCTGTAATTTCGGCTAATATTAGAGGAAATAAGATGATAAAGAAAGAGTACAAGTCAATATTGTTTAAATTTATTTTTGGCTGCAGTTTTTTTCACTACCATAATTTCTAGACTGTTAATCAATGGCTTTTTTAAGTCACTAACTGTCATTTCACAACATATGGTACACCCAATATATAGTCGTCACTCAGACGATCAGACGATATGTGCATAAATCTTCATACATTAAGCATTTACGACTTAAGCAATCATTAATTTACTGCCAAAGCAGGTAAAAGACACATAAAATATAAAAGCAAAAAACCAATATTAAATTATGGCAATATCTAGAATAAATAAAAACAGGTATTTAAGTAGTGGCAGGTTGCCGATATATGAGCCAATAGTTATGACACTTAGTTATCGCCACAAAATGAACGCTATGCTAAACCAAAAACAATAGCAAGTTGTAAAGATTTACATCTATCACGATATCGACTAACAACCGTTAGGTGAACGGAACTTCCATATGAAGTTACCGCCACAATTTGCGGTTGTCAGCCACTAACGCCTCTGAAGGATTTCAAATGTCTTGATGTCAATTTGTATTAATTTCATATAATAACTGTTAACGACACTCAATAACCGTTATTATGCTGCTGTCATGGTCGCCTGCGCCTCATACAACACGCATCATATCTACATGCCATATATTTGTCAAGCGAAGTTATATGAAGAGTCATTCAAGCATATTGCCAACGGCAGAGGTATCACTAAGTCATCAGCAGTTGTCGAATTGCAGCTATTAGCTACCAAGACTTACCACTTTTACGTTACGCTTTACGTCGTTTGCCCACTTATGTCTTTCTTTAGCGGGGGCTAAGCAACTGGCTGGCAGGCTGTGGGTTTTTCGCCCGCATCTACGCACTTTTCGCGTTCGCTTCAGCGTGCGTGTGCCTCAAAGCTGTATTTGCGGCTTCGCTTGCTTTGATTTGTTATGAAACTTGATGCTGCTGGACGACTAAAACAACAACAGTTAATCTTGTTTGCATGACCTTAAAAGTGAAAGTGATTTTTGTTTGCAGCTGGCTGTGTCTTTGCAGCTGTTGTGGTTACTGCTGTTGCTGTTGGCTATTTGTTTCTACTACTGTTACTAGCGGCTTGATGTTACTTATGGGCTTTTGGTCTTTAGGCTTTAATGTTGCCTCATACAAACCAGTTTGGCATCAATATTGTTTTATATGCTTTATTCGTTGACAACATGTAAATATTGATTCAATCGTTGATACCTATTTAATATCTTGAAGCTTTAAGCTTGTTTGCTAAGTTACGTAAGTCGCTGTAAGGCTATTTTGGAAAAGGTACTTGAAGGTCTGTAATATATGTATATGTATATATGTATATAAATTATAAGAATTGGGTATTTTTGACCCTCATTCAGCAGCATACTCGTACAAATATAAACTCTTGTTGAAGCATAATTCAGCGGTTTTTTGTTATAGTATCTTTGGTAAATACGATAATCGCAAGCATTTTATATTGCTGAATAAGTTTATGATTATTGCTCAAGTCCTCAACCAAACCAACTTCTCTCGTTGTTAATCAGGTTATAAGATTACTTAATAGAATTTATGCTTCAGATACTTATAGTAAAATCCAATTAAAATTTACTTTTGGAGCAACATTTTTCACAATCATTAAAATAGGTCTCATATACGCTTTAGAGAGTTAAATTGTGTCAGAACTAAAAACCATGAACTTCAGTTGGACCCTTAATAGGTGTATGTCCTATAGAAAAAAGGGTATAACAAATATGTATCTTGATTTTGAGCGGTCAGTTTGAATGGCAGCTATATTCGGAGTTTGTAGCGTTGTTTTCGACAATAATCTGTACCCAATTTTCAAGTAATTCAAGGCGAAAACGGATCAACGGATGAAAGATTGGTAGGAGCTGTAACTACCTTGGCTTTTTTTTGATGCTAATAGCCTCTGCCACTTAAGCGTTTATTTTAAGAGTTGTCAGGTCTGAATTCGGAAAAATTTTTAAGCTGACTGTTAGAGACCGACTTCGTAGATACTATAGATACTTTACTTAAAAATTAGATCAGAAGGAAAAGAAGCTAACTAACCTTTAATGAAAATCTGATTGAAGAACTTGTCAAAGGGTTAATTTTTTAATCAAAAAGTCTAAAAGCTCATAGAAATTTACCCTAATTGTTTTTATAAGTGTTCTTCTCAATTAAGCAAACACGTTCGGGGTCTAGCAAGCAAACGATTTCTTCATTTCACATAAAAGCTTTAACAAGACTATAAGAGCTTTCATTAAAAATGTCTACTGGCTTGCCTTTATTGATAATCGGGGAACTAATGCGATCTTTTACTTTTGTGCATAAATACATACTTCTTCTTCATATACATCTCTCTCTGTTATCGCTCAGAGAAATAGTTGCGCAATTGTTGATTTCTACATTAGATGGATGACAGAGAAGGAAAACAATAGTTAGTACTCAGAGTAATTTTGATTCTTCTGTAAACTTCAAAAACTTTGTTCATTGTCTTGATCTCAACCTTTTCTCTCGAACAAGAAATCGAAAAAGTTAAACCAAAAATTGTTGTGTGTCTAAGAAAATCAGAAGCTCAAAAAACATAGTGCAGCAATCAACTCAACACTCCACACATGGTGGAAACACTTATTGGTCAATAGAAAAAGACCGGCGGTCCGGTAAGACGAAGACGAGCAGCCACTATGCATTCATCGGAGCATGCAAAATGGAAACTTTTCGACTGAACGCAAATGTCTGCGCCGCTTTCGCACTTAAAATTCCA